AAAGGCTTTCAGGAGGGACAGTGAGGAAGACTCACAGTTTTAAAGGACGTATGAAAAAGAAAATACATTAATAAATAAAAGATAAGACTGCTTTTAATCTATATTTCTATTAGAATGAAAAAACATAAACAGCACATTAGTGACATCCCTTCATTTTTTGTTTTCTAAAACAGCTTGTTACAGAAAAAAAATAACAAAGGGGCTTAGTATTATATAAATAAGACTCCTGCAAAGCAACTCCAAGAATAAAAATATGGTACTGGAAATGTTGACAATACACACATTTTGTGCTATTCTTTGGATTTACTGACGACACTGTTTATGCTGTTTCTTTATTTGGCAAGATGATCAGCTGAAAACCAAGTCAATTATAAAACATGAATCCTATATTGGAACCAATGAAGTTATGATTCCTATACATTCTAAGCCTGCTTCCTCTACCCTGAAGCCAAACAACACAGAGAAGAATGCACGAAGAGAAGTCTCTGAAGATTTCCCCTCAAAAAAAAAAAAAAGAAAGAAAGAGCTAATCTAAGATCTATCAAATCAGAGAGTGATTACTTAACGTAAACAAAAGGGAAACCTGTTATGAGTCTGGCGAGAAGCCTGCACAAAACAGGGCTGATCTGTTTCTTTCAGCAGTTCCGACGTGAACGCCATGAGCCCAGCGTGCTCCAACAAGCCACGTCTCTCCGCCACTTGGGCAGCCAGTGCCTCGCCTCGTTTCTGCCGTGCCCCCTCCAGAGCCTGGGTGAGCGAAGCATGACGCTCGGCGAGAGCGGCCGTCAAATCCCTGATGCTCTGAGCCAGCTGCTCTCTGGCCGACACGCTGTTTACCTGGTGAGGAAAAAGCACAAAGACAAGTTTGGAGAACTAACACCAGGCTTCTGCTGGTACATTCTTAAAACGGTCCAAATAACATTATAAAACACTTTGAGAAAAGACACATTTTTGGAGTTATATAGGTTTGTAATGATATGATTAGGGATGCCAGCTATAGTAGGTAACAGGTTTACTGTAAAAGAGTCAAACAGGTTGGATCATGCGTGAAACATGCAGCAGTTGTACATAGTATCCAATCCTAAACAGACAAGCTGAACAAATACTTGCAGTAGCTGCTGACTGATTTTAATCCCATGTTCAGGGAGATTTTGTGGGCCAGAAGTATTAATCACCTCAGTCTGTGTGATGGAACTCTCCAGCTGGGTAATCTGAGCCAAAACTGTGTCCTGGTTGGACAGAATGTAGTTCATCTCCTTTGTAATCTTCTCCTGTCAAATTAACACCAAATACGCGACACAGAAACAACAAATGCACACGGATTATCAGTTTCACACAGCCACACATCTGCATTATCTTGCACACTATGCTTGCCTAACAGTTAAAGCTGCATTACTGTAGCTTTTTAAACAGCACTGCATCATTTTTATCTGTACCTTCATTGCATTTGGTGGTTGCATTTCAAATGTTAGAGAAGTGTAAAACTATTTTAGAGATCTGGACTAAGTCTAAGTGGCTCAACAATTCGTCCTTGATAGCTCAGAATCTTATCTCTGCCGTCTTGCGTGAAAGACTTGGAGCAGAGTCGCTAGTCCTCCAAATCAAAAGGAGCTAGTTGAGGTTGTTTATCTGACCTTGTCAGATGGCACCTGGGTGAGGTGTTCCAGACAAGTGAAAGAAGATGGAAGGATAGATAGGGACGGGAATCAAGAACCAGTTCTCTAGTCCAATTCCTTGGAATTGTTAGTTTGCCTGCCGATCGATCCTGTTTATCGGTTGCATTTGCACTTGTGCTACAATCAGCTGATTTCAGTTTGTTTGTCAGAGGAAGCAGTGAAGCAGTCATTGACTACTATAATATATTATTTTAAACTGTGAAATGTGTGAAATGGAGGGTTTCACAGTATTCACATATACGCTGGCTTCACTACTACATGTTTGCTTTGTGTGTATTCCTGCCTCTAGTAAACCTTTCACTGTGCGGGACAGAGATCGATGTCAGATTGTGAGACAAACCTTAAGCGCTTGGTACGCCTGGGCCACTGGGAGGATTTTATGTCCGGTGTGAATGCGGCGCAGTTTGCAGAGGGGGCAGAGCAGCCGCTGACATGACCGACAATAGAACTGCAGCTTCTCCTGGTCGTGTTCTGGACAAGTCAGCACCTGAGCGAGACAGGCAAAACAGATGAGAACAGTTTAATCTGAGGCACATTTTACTGAGTGGAAAAAAACAGGAATGTAGCACACAAGTGTGAGGATGCCTGGGTAATTTATTGCTTTGCATTTTGCTAAGCAGCCAAGAGCCACTGGAGGGCTCTGAAAAACAAAAGTAAAGTAAATGTAAAGGGGTCTTTGTATTTTCTTCTTTGTTTGTGGGTCAGAAATCCATATTTTGCACATGGAAAGAAACCATAACTGTTCCATCCATGCAGTCTTACAGTAATGTGCAATTACTGTCCTTTATGCAACTTTAACTGTGCCTCGCATGGCAATCACACTTTCTATATAATGCAGTGCAATATAACTACACTCAGTTTACCACTTATTTAACAACATATACAATTAATACTTATAAACCCTCAGCAAACCATGTCAAGTTGAAAAGTGTAACAAAAGACTTCATGTCTGCTGTCACTTATGCTTTATTTTAGCACAAGCAGATGTGGATGAACAGTATGCGTGTGTCAGTGTTTCAGTACCTTTGGTCTGAAGTTGAGTGTAGGCTGGATGTGCTCATGCTGCGCCCGTGGCGTTCCCCATGGGTGATAGAGTTTGAAACACTCGTTGCAGAAATTAGACCTGCAGTCAGCACAGCCCTTGGTGGCTTCCAGAGTTTGAGGCGGCTTACAGAATTGGCACATCACAGCCACACTGCCCAGACTCACCGTGTGTCTGTACCTGAGAAAGGTAAGCGAGAAAGAGAAGACAGACTGATTTAGCCTCACGTTATTGAGCTTGTTCCACCTTTTTTTTTTTTTTCTTTTAATGAAGTGGGACCTGGCAACCAAGCAAATAAAGGATTAATGAGTTGAATATTTGGACATGAAATAAATTCTCATTAAAGGAACACAAATGTTTATAACAAAGAGTGATTCGAGCCCATGGGTGTGCTTGAGACAAATGGTAATTAGCAGGTGATGAATGGAAAGCTGTGGAAACATGCAGTCAGCCAGGGTAGCTACAGCATGTTGCAGTGCACGCTCAGTGCTGGTTCAGCTGCTGAATACCGACAATACGTTTTGGACCTGTTCCCATACCTTCTTCTTTTCAGGTCTAAGTCCTCTCCTTATTTACATTTGTCCATAAACATCATGAGCACTGAAGGACATCATCAATCTGTAGGGTTATCTAACTGTTTTTGTCATGAATCTGTACTCAAATAGCATCTTTCTGCTCAAGTTAAACACAGAAAGCACTTTTTACTACAAGTCTCATTCGCCCAGTCACATACACGGTCATTTTTCTAATATTCATTCATCTAAAGGAGCTGGGGATCGATCCATTGACCTTGAGATGGCCTGCTCGACCACCTGAGCCACAGCTCCCAATCTTCTGTTTGCAGATTGAGTCTATACTTACCTCTCCACTATACGCTCCAAGGTGAGGTTGCGCAGACAGTCAGTAAGGCCTTTCTCTCCCAGCTCAACATCTCTGCCGCAGGGGATACAGGGGAACATCATCACCAAGGGTGGACCTTCCTTACGGCGTCTACCTGGGTACGTCCCATAACCGGGAGACCGTGGCATGGATGGTGAAGGGGGGTGTGGACCTTAAACAAAAAAGTAAAACCAGTTATAAACAAAGAAAAACGTAAAAAATTAAGGAAAATCATAGTTGCCACTTCTTTTTAATGGCATGAAAATGCAATCCCATTACACCAAAAAACCTCAGGTTATTTTTAAGAAAGAATGCCTCGTTGACAAAAACAAAAACACCCTCCCTCTCCTCTTTGTGAGATGTAGCTTAGGTTATAAATGGAGAGAGGTACTACAAACCTGAACGCAGCACGCGGTCGATGGGCCGTTGTTCATTTTTAGGTGTGGGCCTGCGTGCCTGACGAGGTGAACGAGTGTTGGGTGTGGAGGCTGGTGAGTTGGGTTCTGGTGGAAGCTCTGGAGGCGGGTATCCATTTGCTACCAAGACCTCGGAGGCACACAAGAGACAGACGCTGTGCAGGCACGGCAGGACCACAGGCTGTTTGACTATTTCCTTACACACGGGACAATGCAACTCATGCTCCAGGCTCTTCATGTTAGACTGTTGGAAGCAAACAAGCAAAGGATGACTATCTGCACATGGTGCTGTAGAGAAAAACAGGCTGAGTATCCAGACATCCCGAAGATGATTGTGTTTAGGAATGCAGCACGCAGACGCCTGACTGTGCACAAAAAAAACTTTAACTTGAATAACTGGAACTAAAATTTGCAGGCAGCATAAAAAGCTCTCAAACATGAATGCCAATGGAATTGATTAAAATCTAAAACTAACCAATTATAGCATAAAGATGCGAAATTAAGACTATGACTCAGCCAAATGTCGTTTTATACTTAAGAGTTTTGATTCTTACTTCTATAGATACATTTTTACTCAGTACCAGAACAGCATTCACGTTTTAGACCAGTCTGACTTGCAGATGTATAACTGAGGGGAAACAGCTTCACAGCCGATACCCTGAGAAATACTTGGCAATGTGAAAAAGATGTGCCACACAGGCGACACAGGGTGCCAATCTTGTTAAATATTAAAAATGAGGCATTAATTATTCAACCACCCATCTCTTAAATCACAGCCATGCATGTGACCATGAGCCAGTAGCCACATTTCTTTATGACTCAGAAATTCTATAACACACTTGTTTCTAAGAAATGTCATAAAAATGTGTAGTAATGTGTAATATATTAGCACGCAAAATCAGGTTTGATAATGCATTTGTCTTTTTCTATACATTACTGCCAATGCAGCACCTTCGCTTTGTGAAACTACAGCAAACAGACCTGGATGGCGAATCAAAACTCGCACCTCTGGAGCACTTAACGCGTGCTCTGCTCAAGGACACTGATCTGACAGAAAAGGACACTGACTATTGCATAAACCTGTGACTTTACCACTGCAGTCACTCTGATCTGATAAAAGATTAATTCCACTCTCATTACATTCTGGTCTGTGTGAAAAATACACAGATTTTATGTCCAGTGATGTTAAGAATAATAATATATTTTATTTGTTGTCCTATTCCCAGTCATGAGGATCTCCTTTTCCCCCTCCTTTGCTTTGTGGATGCCCTTGACACAGAACCTACTATCAAACTGGTTGCAGGGCATCACAGACATTATGAGTTAACTTCAAAACCAGGACAAGGCAAACAGACTGACAGTGCTGCATAGGGGATTTGGGGATCGTGTCACTGTGATGTGATATGATGCCACCATCAGGGCTACTTAAAACACAAAGATCATGCATGGGGATGCAGAACAATTGGAATATTATGAAGGGAATATAAAAAGGAAAGGTCTACATTCATACAATAAAGCCGGATGAGAAAATCTGTGCAGATACTGGCTGATAGCGCACCATCTACCCAATTTGCAGATAGCACCACCTTAGTCAAATTAGAATTACACGGAGAGAACTGGCGGATAGCGACGACCTGCACTGAAGTATGAAACTGGATTAATGCTAATAACCTCCTTCCTCCCTCAGTCCACCTCAGTCATTTTCTCCAATGTCAACTCTGGCCTGTCTTTTTCTCATCCTCTAGCAGCTTAGCCTATCGCATTTTCAAGCACCTCCGATTCCTGCAGGCTGAGCGCACAGCTACAAACTGTGGCTCTCTACCTCCATCTCACATGCACAGTCCGCACTGCTGCTGCTGCTGCTGCTGAGGCCGGCGGGGAAAAACAAGCGGCGCATCCTTACCTTCACCTGGAATCTAGGCGCCATGACAGCATTTCCAGGATCAGAGCGGTGTCTGTGTAGTGCAAAGAGGGGAGGGGTTTGAGCGATTACAACGACCTCCTAGCGCAGGTACGATGGGCTCTGGAGGAAACGGGCTATGGCGACGGAAAAGATAACGCACGTGACTGCCTTTGACTGCTGAACGTGCTCTGTGTGCACCTCTAAGACCAGTCCACCACGCTCTGTTGGAGCCGTGTCTAAAAATTACCTCTAGGTTTTAACCCTGCAATGCTTGATGCTCCCAGATGCATCGATACACGTTTTTTTTTATTTGTCTCAGCAGCAGCCCCGAGTCCTGCATCTCGTCTCCATGGAAACGAGCATCCGGAGTGCCGAAAAAAGAAAGGTGTCATTTGGGTCGGCACCCATGCTATTATTTTTTTAATGACATTATAATTGCCACATTTGCTCAAGTCTGATATGTAGGCTACCGACTATAGCTCATGAATGTCGGTAAAGCAAAAATCGAAGAAGATCAATATTTCATTGGCTAAAGATGATAAGAAAAATATGTTTTAGTTTTATTTTATTTCAGTGGACTTTAATTGAGGTTCAGAAACAGATAGCACACGGACTGGGCCCATGTGATAGAGACACTCCGGCAGGTGCCATCCACGCCAATAATTCGCTTTTTCCCTTTAAAACATGATAAAACATGATAGCTACTCTTTATTTAAAATAAATAAATAAATACAAATTCATACTCCACGTTATATTCAGCGTATATCAACTAACAGCACAATGTCACAGATATACACTTACGGTGGCGCGAACCAAGGCTTCCATCGCTGATGTGGCTGTTTTTAAATCCATCTCTGCCATTTTAAGAGCATAGCTTCCCCCTGTTTTCATCATCTGGAAATAGATTGTGGTGTGTCCAGGCCGATGGCCATGTAACACACATTAAGAACGCGAAATATGCCGAAAATATGTCTCCAATATAGAAGCGTTTTGGATATTAATATAATTTTTTTCTATTAGATGTTTAATTTGGACATTTTTACGCGTGTTAATTACCGACTGATAAGAAGCACCGCGTGCTGCTTTTAGGCATAAAAACAAAACGCTTTCTGGAAAAAAAAATCTGAATTTGTTCTTAATTTACGAGTACATCCACGCCGAATAGCTACTACTAAAAGATGCCTGTGGCTTTATTCCTCACGCAGGCGTCCCTCCCCCTACGTTTCCCATCCTGCACCGGATGCCCTCAGCTGATGCGGAACACAGGGAAAATCGCTGTAAATCCAGGAACCCATTCCTTAATAACTCAAGAACGTAGTGGGGAAAAAACAGTATTTGTCGGTTTAAAACTGATTTCCGGGATTTAAAATGTTGTAAAGGAGTCGTTGGCCTAGACTCTGTCGAACACTCGACACATCTCTCGTGGATGTCAGTTTGAGCCAGAAAAAAAACAATCATGTCATAAGATAGAAGCTGCAACCAGCTTTTGGCAAAGGGAGTTTTATATAACTTTTATTGATCAGGGCAAAAACTCTCACTGACTTATAAAAATGTATTTTTCAGGAGCGATCAGGCCAAGAGGATAGCAGAAATTGCAACAAATTTAACAGTTCTACAATGATAATATAAATAAAGATATATGATGACGGCAATGCAGACATAGAGTAGGTAAAACAACACAAAGTCATAAATATACTTGGGAAAGCAGCTACTTTTTGTGTTTTATATACAAACTCTTTCATAACTCTTGTTGACCAGAGGCTATTTACTAACGTAAGCAAAGATATAGTACATAAAAATAAATTTAAAAAGACAAACATCAGAAATCACTTTTTTTTCAAGTTTTAGGATCCTCAGATCAAGTTTAGTTGTTGAATTTTCTGAGGATACATAAATTTTTTTTTTATGTACTATATCTTTGCTTACGTTAGTAAATAGCCTTAATTATTCCATCCATAACAGAACAACCAGTCAAGAGTTTGGGGAAACTCTTCGACTCCAGCCTGAAAGACTCTAATGCCATTCAGAAGGCAAATGAGGAGCTGGGAGCGTGGCTCATTAAGGTGGATAAGTCCGGCCTGCCTGGAAGATTTAAAGCCTGGATCTACCAGCATTCCATCCTGCCCCGAATCCTGTGGCCCCTGCTTGTCTATACAGTTCCAATAACTACTGTGGAATCCCTTGAAAGGAAGATCAGTGGCTTTCTTCGTTAGTGGCTGGGACTTCCCTGCAGTCTCACCAGCGCTGCCTTGTATGGGGCAAGCAACAGCTTGCAGTTACCCTTCAGTGGTCTCACAGAAGAGTTCAAGGTGGCTCGCAAACGAGAAGCCCTACAGTACAGAGATTCTAAAGACTGCAAGGTGGCATCAGCAGGTATTGAGGTAAGGACAGGAAAAAAATGGAAGGCTGAGAAGGCAGTTGAGGTGGCAGAGTCACGCCTAAGGCAGAAAACACTGGTGGGGGTCTTAGCAACAGGGGGAGCAGGCTTGGGGTACTTCCCAAAGGCCCATGTCAGCAGGGCACAGGGAAAGAAGAGACACCAGCTACTCCAGGAAGAGGTCCGAGCAGGTGTGGAGGAGAAGCGAGTAAGTAGAGCTGTAGGCCTTAAGCGGAAGGGAGCATGGACAAGGTGGGAGAGCACCTTGCAGCGCAAGGTCACCTGGGCAAACATCATGCAGGCAGACTTCCACTGGATCCGATTCCTAGTGCAGGCAGTATACGACACTCTGCCAAGCTCAGCAAACCTCCATCTGTGGTGGAAGAGCGCGACACCTGTCTGTCCCCTGTGCTCTTGAAGAGGGACCCTAGAACACCTCCTTAGCAGCTGCCCAAGGGCCCTGGCCGATGGTCGGTATCGTTGGTGGCACGACCAGGTGCTCAGAGTAGTTGCTGAAAAGATTGCCTCAGCAATCAGCACCAGCAAGCACCGTCATGCTCCGAGGAAGGCAATCTCTTTCATTAAGGCTGAAGA